TTATATGTGTGCCAAAGAATTCATATGCCCTTCATTCCTTCATAGGCAGATCACATCTCAGAAGCCATGTGAATTTAAACAGTATAGGCAATCCCTGATTTCTCTCAAAAGTGTTCACAAACAAGTGTTAACAAAAACTGGAGATGGACCATATGAAAGTACAGTACGTGGGAAAGTCTTCATTTCCAGTGACATTCAAAGACATGAAGATACTCATACTGGGTGGCAACGCTATGAATATCAACAATGTGGTGAAGCCTCATCTTCTCCCACAGGTGTTCAAAGACACATGAGAACACACAGTGGAGGTAAACCTTTTCAATGTGAAGTATGTGGAAAAACCTTTCATTTCTCTTCTTTATTTAGAAGACATGAAAGAACTTATTCTGGAGAGAAACTCTGTGAATGTAAACAAGGTGGTCAATCCTTTATTTCACACTCAAGTCTTCAAAGGCACAGGATCCCACACAAGGGGAATGCACATTTCAAATGTAAGGTATGTGGAAAAGACTTTGCTTATCCCAGTTTACTTAGAATACATCAGAGAACACATACTAGAGAGAAGCCTTATGAATGTAAGCAGTGTGGGAAATCCTTTGCTCGATCCAGTAACTTTCACTCACATGAAAAAACTCATACTGGAGAAAAGCCCTATAAATGTAAGCAGTGTGGCAAAGCCTTTGCTAGATCCAGTAACCTTCAGATTCATGGAAGAACACATAGTGGAGAGAAGCCCTGTGAGTGTAAGCAGTGTGGAAAAGGCTTTACTCAGTCCTCTGGCCTTCAGTCACATGAAAAAATTCATACTGGAGAGAAGCCCTATGAATGTAAGCAGTGTGGCAAAGTCTTTGCTACATCCAGTTACCTTCAGATTCATGGAAGAACACATACTGGAGACAAGCCCTATGAATGTAAGCAGTGTGGAAAAGCTTTTGCAAATTCCAATAACCTTCAGAGACATGGAAGAACATATACTGGAGAGAAGCCCTATGAATGTAAGCAGTGTGGCAAAGCCTTTGCTAGATTCAGTTACCTTCAGTCACATGAAAAAACTCATACTGGAGAGAAGCCCTATGAGTGCCAGCAGTGTGGAAAAGCCTTCACTCAGTCCTCTGGCCTTTACTCACATGAAAAACTTCATACTGGATAGAAGCCCTATGAGTGTAAGCTTTGTGGCAAAGCCTTTGCTAGTTCCAGTGACCTTCAAAGATATGGAAGAACACATACTGGAGAGAAGCTCTATAATTGGAAGCAATGTGGAAAAGCCTTTGTTACATCTGTTCAGCTTCGTTTACATGAAGGAACACATCATGCAGAGAAATTGTACTCATGAAAACAATTGGCAAAGTCTTCTGTTAAGAAAGTTTCACTTTTAACATGTAGTCAGTTTTCTGTAGAAAAATTCTTTGAATGTGAAATGTGGGAAATCAGTATTGTCACAAAGAGAAGAAAGTGCTGCATATCAGAATCAATGAATCAATCTCTCTATCTATCTATTTATCGATCTATCTATAAATCATACTGGGGATTTAGTCTGAGGGCCCTCCATCACTGAGCCAGATTCCTTTTACTTTTTATTTTGAGACAGGAACTTGAGGAGTTCCTTAGTGTCTTCCTAAGTTGCTGAGTCTGGCTTCACATTTGTGATCCTTCTGCCTGAGCTCCCCAAGACTCTGGGATTAAGGGCATACATGACCACATCTAACTGAATAATGCTTTAAATGTAAAAAAATTGGAAAATCATTCCATTTTCCCTGGTGCCTTCAAAACCATTTCACTCACACTGGCGGGGGGGGGGGGATCCTCAGAATGTGGAGGATTGATACATCCTGTTAGCTTCCCATCCCAGCCCTGCTTTCCTTCTCCTATATGAAAATACTCATGGAGAGAAGCCCTGAGAATGTGATAAATGTGGGAAGTCTTCTAATTTTCCCACTTTTTTCCAAGGACTGGGAAGATTCTTCTTGAAAGATTCATGTCAAAATGAATAAATTGTATGCAAATAAGAAATACAAAGGGCTCAGGTGTTCCAGTTTTGTTCAGTTGTATGAAAGGACTCAGACTGTAGAAAATCCTGTGGATAAGCCATGTGGGGCAGTATTCAGCTTTCATGGTTTCCCCCAAAGACATAAAAGGATTCACATCAGGGAAACCCTATTAAACAATGTGGTAGAACTTTCACCTTTCCAGGTTCTTTTTGAGTATCATGGGAGAACTCACTCTGGAGAAAAGCCTTGTATATAAAAATGTGGTGAGATCTTCAGTTGTTCCAGTTTGTTTTAGACTTACTCATCAGACTTGAGGGAATTTTTTTTACTTTATTTTATTTTACTTGTTTTGGTACCAGGGATTCAGCTCAGAGACACTTAACCACTGAGCCACATCCCAGTTCTTTTTAATTTTTTTTTCAAATAGTTAGACACATTCTCACTGAATTGCTTAGGTCCTCACTATGTTGTGGAGGCTGACTTTGAACTTGTGATCCCCTATCTCAGCCCGGTTTTTCACTGGAATTAGTCATTCAACCCCTTCAGCAAGGAACCTTTTTTTTTTTTTTTTTTTTTTTTTTTAAAACCAATTTTTTTTTACCCCCGTCAGGGAAGTTTTTTTTTTTTTTTTTTTTTTTTTTCAGGAAACCACTGTATGTGTAAAAAGGGTGTGTGCCTTCATTTCTTTTTTGTCTATTTAGAGGTAATGAGAGTGCACCCTGGAGTGGATATAGGGATTGTTTCAGCATGAAGATGTGAAAGCAACATGTTTCTCCCAGTTAAATATCTCTTCTTGTTAGATTTAATTTTTCTATATTTTAAGTTTTTTTTTTCATCTGTAGTCATCTCTCACATATTATGCCATAATAAACATTATCATCATCATCACCACCACCACCACCACCACCACCACCACCACCACCATTATCATCATATCTGGAGTACTTAGGCACTGATCACATCCCTAGATATTTTTATTTTTTAATTTTGTTTGAAGATCCTGGTAAATTCTTTTCAAGGGCCTCAGTATGTTGCTGAGGCTGGTCTTGAACTTGCGATCCTCATTCTATAACCACTGGGATTACAGACATGCTACCATGCCCAACTCCTGGATGTTTCTTGAAACCCTGATGTAAATCAAAATGTGCCTTTTTGTGTAGAATTTCCAAGTGTTAACTGTTTGTTAAGAAGCAAGAATTACTTAACATACATAATGTGTTTATGTATATTAATGCCATTCAATTTCTAAGATTCTAGAATGATTCTGAGCATCATCAGAACATTAATTCACACCTTATACTCTAAATTTTTATTAGTCTGGTTGGACTAAACTGAAGTCCATTTGGAAAAAGTTTATTTTAGATAATTTTTGTTAAAAACAGGGTGGAAGGTCTGTTCAAATATTTAAGGGAACAGACTATTTCTATTAAGACCTTATGATAGGAAGTAATTTAAGTAATCCCAGTGAGTAATTATCAGATTTTTTAAAAACAATTTATTGTTCCCTGTGTGCACCAGGCATGAGCTAAACAACTTTGCAGAGTCACGGGGGCTATGGAACATTGCCTGGTGCTCATGTAAGTGTTCTCTAGAGCACAAGTGAAATGACAAAAGCAAACACCTGGGAGGTGAGTTTTGGCACCCACACATGCACACTCACACCCATGTGCACACACATACACGGGATCAAGTCACCTTTTTCTGTACATACCCTCCCTAGTGCAGTGCTTTCATCCTCACTGTGTAATGCAACTATTGATTTCTTTGATTTTTCTCACAATGTTGCTGCCCACTATTTTTTTTTTTTCTCAAACTCAATTGTTCTTTTCTGACTTCACAATTTAATTGTGTCTTTATAAAGTTTTATTACAGATTATGTATGTTAGTTGAGGCTTCTCCACTCCAGCCTTAAGTACAGATTGGTGAAATGTCTCTTCCTTTCCCCTTTGCTTCCTTCCCTCCTTCAGATTTCACCAGGAGTGCTCCACCACTGAGCTTCACCATAGCTCTTTTGTTCTTTTCTGAGATGGGGTGAGGCTGGCCCTGAACTTTTGCTCAGCCTGCCTCAGCCCTCTTGCAGCTGGACCATAGAATTGTGCCCTTGTGTGTCCTGCTGCTGGCCTCTTTCTTTTTCTTAATGCCTGTTCAGTCTGTGGATGACTCTGGGACCACCACTGTGTCACTCCTGCTTGTTCTAAGTCTCATGTGTTGTGTTGTATATAGGCATGTTAAAGAGCATTTAACAAAATGTCATTTGTATTTATTGCTTCAAAAGGCACCTTCTCAAAATACTTGAGTTGCTTTCTTTCTCTTTCCCTTTTCTGGTGCCAGGGTCCCAATCCTGCCTTGTGCATGCTAGGCAGGTGCTCTAACACCTAGCACTCCCCTATCTCAGGTGGTGAGTTTGCTGCTTCTGTGTGTGTGGACCCCACTACTGTCCATGTCAGTAGATGCAGCACTACAAGTCCTTATTTCACATTTGCAGCTAGTCCCTTTCTTCTTGAAGGTTTTTGACATCAGTGAATTTTAAAAACTGACATCCACTTAGCTTCTCTCCTCATGATTAGTATTAGGTGGAATATGCCAGAAAATCCAGGCTGGACTTCTCTCTGTGTTTAGGGTAACTCAGTAACCCTGAGAATATCATGTGATGATTTTTTTCCTACATAGTGTGTGACCAAAGGCAAGGTAAGAAGGGTCCCAGTCTGATGTCCTAAAGTAGTGGCACTCCCTTCTCCACCTCAGAATCTTAAATAAGCTTCTCCAGAGATTCTCACCATAGTTTTCTTTAAACACAATGTCAGGAAAAGGTTTTGCAAAGAACTCAAAGTGGGTTAGAACTCAGACTTGATGACCTTACTTCTCCTTTTCTGGTAATGCTTAGAAAACCTCTGACTAATCTCACAAATGGTACAAAAAGCACTTTCTGTGAACTAAAAAAGAAAAAAAAAAAACTTTATATAGACTCCTAGAAACAATGTACACCTCCACCCCCTCCCACTGGGTGTAAACAATGAAATTTCAAACTCGAGGTCCAGAAAATTTTAGGAATACCCCTCTAAGTCCTGCAGCTAGTAAGTTGGCTCCCTGAATATTCCCTGGGTGTCCAGCCTCATCTGCCCCACATCATTAATGGGACCTCCACTGGTAAAAAATATCCCAGGTCATAGCCAGGAATTCTTGTTTGGAAATTATACAGCAGGGTCTCTGGTGGGAATTCAGGAGCACTGAATTCAAGGTTTCCAGACACTTTAGAGCTGCAATCTTCTTACCCAGTGGTCATGGCCCTCATGAAGTCCACAGTGGGTGCAGCACCCCGGACTTGGTCAGCACTCATGAGGGCAATACCATTCTCAACACTACAGCCAATAAATTCCCAGGAGTCCTGCTTTCCAGTGCTTGCCCTGTGCTGCAGGAGGTCCTGCATGTTGCTATAATCTTCTTGGTGTCCTTGCTATGCTCTGATGTGGTCATTATACCAAGAAGGCCTGGAAACCACTGGACCTGGGATCTGGAGGCACTTGCACAGATGCCCATTTACTCTTGGCCTGATGACCTTCCTGTGCCACCACCACCCAGTCGTGTCTGGATCTGCTCTTCACTGTCACTTTCTTCCCTGCACTGCCTGAGCTCAGAGTCCCCTCATTCTCCACACTCACATTCATTTTCCTGGTGGCTTTGGTGATCACCAGGGACCATGCCCCCTATCGTGGGGCCTCTCGGGCTCCTTCCATCCCTCTCTTTGCACAGGCACCCAGGTGTGTGCTGCAGGTATGGCATCTCCCCCTGCTGTGGAGCCTTGTTACGCTAGGCCCCAGGGTCAACCTGGTGTGTGCCACAGGTGGGCATCCCCCCCTGTTCTGTGGAACCCTGGTATACTTGGCCCCTATCTCAGTATTCAGCCAAGAGAAGAAAGAGCTTATCCAGCAAGAACCTGCGTTCTGATCTGCTGCCAGCATGTGGTTTAAGTGACCTCCATTGACCTGTCCTTGGCCACTGTAGGGAAGACTCTGCAGGTGTACCTATTTGTATTTTGCTTCCTGAAACATGCCACCAGGAAGAACTGTGTCATCTCTGTGTGGCTGTGATTTATAATTTAAGGTTTTAGTCATAGTCTGAGGTAACTATAAAACCCATTCAGCCAAACATGAGTCCACCAAGTGGGAAAAGGGTTTGGGGATGCAATGTTTTTGTTTTTGTTTTTTTCTCTCAATCATTTTTTGTTTGAATATTCCTTCTTTGGTGTTCCACATTAAGGCCTATTTTTGCTTTGACTTGGAATAATTTTTTGACAGCAATTTGCTTGTTTTGTCAGTGCCTAAAATATGCATGAGAAAAGTAAAATAACCCCTGAATTTGCCAATCCCTAGAATTGATCCAAATAGCATTTGAAAAGGGTCTGCAGTACATGCTGTGGAGAGCGCTATTTCTGCTTAGGCTAAGGGATTCACTCACCTGTCCTAAGGATTCAACGCATCCTGAGAAAAACCTCACCCACAACATATTCAAGAGTCATGGGTCTTGTGTGGTCATTGAGCAGAGTTTCTTATGTACTTGTCTCCAAATATTTAAGATGGCAAACATGATAGAGATCAGTGATTGTCACTGTTATCTTTGTTACCAGCCATTTGCTGTGTCTCTCATAGTGTTCATTTGGAAAGGAAGGTGAAAAGAGAGTGCTGTGGAACTTCTGATTTTAATAAATATAGCTTAAGCTATCCCACAGCATTTAGTCTCAAAAGATAGTTTTTGAAGCTCCCATGATTGCTGAAAACTTTCTATCTACCTAATGAGACAGTTTGGCAGTTTTCTAATATTTCATCTTTGATTCAGTAGAAATATTGCATAGTGGCATGTGAGCACTTGATGCAGTCTGGACTGCTTTGTAATAAATCATTTGCCAAAGGCAGGAGTTACAGGCTTGTTACTGGCCAGCATGAAGCTCTGGAGTGAATGCAACTATGCTGGGGTGCGGGCATTCTCTGTAGGAGTTCAGCCTTGGTAAGTACATTAGTGCAGGAATCAGGC